CTCCCCACCAATACCCACGTTCTGCTTCCCTCCATCACTCACTCTCAGTGAGTCATTCCCGCACCAACAAAACGTATTTATACTAAAAATGAGGCAGATGCGGGGTATAAACCATTAGATATTTAAGAATAATGAGCATACAAACAATCCAACCCCACTGCCATCGAGTCAGTTCCGACTCATAGCGACCCTATAGGACAGAGTAGAATTGCCCCATAGGGTTTCCAAGGAGCAGCTGGTGGATTGAAACTGCCAACCTCTTGGCTAGCAGCCAAGCTCTTAACCACTGCACCACCAGGGCTCTGATTAGCATACAGACGCCCCTTTATAGTTTACCAGACACTTCACATTTGGGACCTTATATCCAGTGACGAGGTAAAATACCAACTATTCACCCAGTACAGAAAGCTGTGCTCCTTGCAGCCACCTGAGCATTGCCCCTGGACCCCAAGCTGGGCGAGCCCCAGCCTCGCTGGCTTCCACACTCCCCGGACACGGCGTCGGCCTCCAGGGTTCTACACCTGCTTCCCGTGGCCCATTTCCCTGTGCCTGCGACCACTAACCCTGCAGCCCTCTACACCTCTGTGAAAGCTGCATCCCCCTCACTTTACCTGATCATGTCCCCAGCAGTTCTTCCGGGGCGTAAACGGGGCAATGCCCGCCCCCGCCGGACCCTGCCCCCTCCCCCCGGCCATTAGTGGAGAGCATCACCTCACTCCACTTCCCCGCGCTGGTTCCTGGGGGCCTGGCTGCAAAGGTACCCCAAATATGCACAGGAATGCACGGTAGTGCCTTGGACTATTCTCCTATACCCTTTATTGCTAGAAGTAAGATTTGGATGGTTCACTTCTGATTAAATACATTATTCAAGGCCTCAGCTCTCTGGAGCTTACTAATTCTGCTTGATTTATCACAGTGCTATTCAAAATCAAAAGATTTTACAATCGTTAATGCCCTGAGTTTTAATATGCAAATGGAATGTGCTGCCAAAAGGCCTGTGCGAAAACCAGGATGGGCGCCAATTCAGACTCCACGAAAGAGAACCTTGTCATCATCATAGTGAATTTTTTAATATCAAAAAATGATATTAACCACCTTGATCTTGCTCTCTGAACCAGGCTGCTTCTAAAAACCAAATACATCCTCAAAAAAAAAAAAAAAGATTTCTACCACTGAGATTTTTTGATGATCTCTGGCCAGCTCTGAAAACCATTTCAAAAAAGAAATTCCGAAAACGTTGTCAGTAACAGCAGCACTGATGGAATGAAAGAGAAAATAACTTAAGATTCATAGAGCAATTGCCAGGTGCTATTTTAGTCTTGGCAGCAACCCTGCCTGGCAGGCACTGCTGTCCCACTTCACAGGTGAGGAAGCTGAGGCCTAGAGAGGGAGAGGGACCTGCCCAGCGTCACAGGGTTACCAAGCGGTGGGCTGGGATTCACACCCAGGCCAGCCCGACCCCAAAGCAAACACTGCAATGCTTTTCTTCTTAACGTCACTGACACCACTGAACGAGCACATACTCATTCAGATGTACACTTGATAACACACTGATTAATCATATCACTTCCTTGTCTTGTCTAATGTAACTTCTAAAACTTATATTCACATCACATGTATTTAAAGAGGTCAGGTGGGAGAAAGCCTCCGAAAGTGGCTGGTGAAGCCGAGCTCGCTCACCGCCTGCCAGGTGCATGTCCAGCGCAGCAAGGAGGGTCTGGTGCTGCCTGGGGAGCTCAGGTCGAGCAGCAGAGCAGACAGCGCTCAGGAAAGTTCTCTGCAGAGTAAAAGTGTGTTTCTTGACAGAGTGTGCCAGGCCCTGTGCTAGGTGCCTGGGATATGCTGGTGAGTGGCCCAGCCGGCCCTGTCCTGGGAGGCTGGCAGTCCAGCGGGGAAGAAAGGCAAGCAGGCAGCCACGATACAATCTGACCCTTACAGGCTTCATAAAAAGGCATATCAAGGGGTACCTAACCCCATGGGGCAGTTCCACTCTGTCCTATAGGGTTGCTATGAGTTGGAATCAACTCGACGGCACACAACGACAACAACCCTGTCTTGAGGGCGCCCGAGAAGGCTTCTCAGAGGACGTGGCACCGAAGCCGACAGCTACAGAGGAACAGAAAACAGCCGGCCCAAGGGGAGCAGGATCCGGGCAGCAGCAGGGCACGTGACACGCCTGTAAACAGGTAGTGAAGGTGGCACAAAACAATGAATGTCACCAATGCCCCTGAATCCTACACTTAAACATGGTTAAAATGGCAGATTTTATGTTATACGTATTTTACCACAACAAAATTAAAAATAAATACACACTAGCCTGTGAGTGCGAGAAGGTGACAGATTTCGGAAACGGAAAGTCATCAGGCCGGCTGGAGCCAGCATGCTGGGGGGGACAAGGAGGGGCAGATGTGAGGAGCCGGGCAAAGGCCAGGTCACCCAGGCCTGTCAAGCAATTTAAGGAGCCTGGAATCATCCTAGGAGCAGGGGGAGCCACTGAAGGGTGTTAAGAAGAGAACTGAGGGGACCATATTTACACCTTGGAAGGACCGTTCTGGATGAAGCGGGAAGAAGGCGCTGGTCAGAGGGGAGACTGGACGCAGGGAGCCTGGGGCCCATCCTCAGGAATGCAGGCTGGTCACAGGAGCACGGCAGAGGGAGGGGAGAGGCGAGCAGGTTCCCTGGATATTTAGGAGGTAAGCTGGAGGGCTGGGTCAGAAACGGTGCCATTTCTGCCCGCAGCAATCCAGTGAAGGCAGCACCAGTCAGAGACAGGAAACACAGCGGGGAGGCACGGGGTCAGGAGGGAGACAGCTGAGCTGACCCTCGGGCCTGCTGGTCTGGGACGGTGGTGGCACATCCAGGAGGAAGTGTCCACAGGGCAGCTGGAAAGACAGGTCAGGAGTCCCAGACAATGATCTTGGCTAAAGATGCAAAAGGTAAGGGGGGGGGGGTGGAAAACCGAAAAGAGAGAGCCTGGGGGCTAGGAGG